ACCTTAGACTATAATTGAAGAACAGTAATAGCATGTGACAAGTTCAATCAAAGGTTTGAAAGCTTAATCCTACTTTAAATAAGTCAAAGCAAATACCATTTTACTATAATTTTACTACATATAAGTCAAGCAAATAATATTTTACTTATTGTTTGGATTACTCAAGGAAATGTCAGAAGTTTTGCCTTTGGGACAAGTCTATAGATTCAAAAACTTTTTGTGCTGTTGAGAGAAGTATACTTTTCTGTCCATTTTCTTAATTCTGCATTTGTTTAGATTCTTACTGTGCATATGCTGCAGATTTCTAATGAGTGTAAAAAAGAGAAAAGAAATAATAAAAAACAAGCAGACAAAAACCCCTCTAGCCTGTTTCAGTCAGAATGTAAGTGAGTGGGATAAAAGGACTTTTTTTTTTAAGATTTATTTATTTATTTATACAAGCACTGGGTACAGTCAGAAGCATGGGAGGGTGAGAGAATTCACCAGAGCCAGAGTGGGGAACAGAACAGGCAGACTGATGAAATACACTGCTGAGGGGAGCAGCGGGCGGCAGGAGAGGTCTGCGCGCCATGTGGGACCCTAGCCGGCGGCCGGGGATCGAACCAGCGCTGCAGAGGCTGCGGGCAGCTTCGCAGCCCAGTGCTCAACTGCTGTGCCACTGAGGAGACCCTAGAAGGATTTTTAAAACACACATGGAACATTTGTTCATATACCTGTTGGCCATTTGCCTCTCCTCTTTGGAGAAGTGACTTTTTATCTCTTCTGCCCAAGTTTTGACTGGATTGTTTACTTTGTTTTTGTTGAGTTGTGTGAGCTTTCTGTGGATTTTTGTGATCATTCCCTTATCAGTTGCATTGTGTGCAAAAATTTTCATCCAATGAGTAGGGTTTCTCTTGGTTTTGGTTAATGTCTCTTTTGCTGTACAGAAGCTCCTTAGTTTGATATAATCCCAGTTGTTTATCTTTTCCTTCACTTTCTTTGCTTTGGGAGAATGTGTCTTTAAAGGTGTTACTGAGATGTATGTCGTGTAGTGTTTTGCTTGTATTTACTTCTATATATGTTATGGTGTCAGGTCTCGCATTCAGGGCTTTTATCCATTTTGAGTGATGGTTCACAGGTGAATTGGTGGTGGGAATTTTACAGGGAATGCACAATGATGTAAAAGACATAAATAAAAATATAATATAAACGATCTCAAAAAGAATGCAACACATGGGACACAGCAGCTCTCAACCAGTCTCAGCTGCCGGGAACAGCGTTTGCAGTCTCGTTAGAAAGTAGGCCTGGTGGAGAGAAAAATACTCTCAGGACCTGACCGTGATCTGGGAGGCCAGGTTCAGTTCTTTTTTTCTGTGCCCCAACTCACATATGTGCTCTGAGTCTAATCATTTTCCTTCTCTCTTCTTGATTTTCTTATCTGTCATTTGGGGACTTAATAACAGGTCTTTCCTTGGAAAGCATTTTGAAACCATTCCCTGAAAGGTGTTGGTTGTCCCTGTTGTTATTAATATTACCAGATCACCATTACAGGCCCGCCTTGGCTTGGGATGGAAAACGTGAGCCGACCTCGCTTGACGTGATTGTAATCCTATGAGCCTCAGCTCGCTTTTATATCTGACCCTCTGGCCTCGTGCTACCCGCTGGAGCTCAGCCTCTTGACAGCTGGCCCAGGGTCATCTAGTTCAGAGCAAAAGTGGGCCTGGCGGACACAACACTTTAAGGACTCATTGAATTGATCCAGCTGGGGCGGGTCCAGGCTCTCTTGGTGCCAAATGGAAAATGAAGACGGTGTCCATGCGAGGGAAGCAGAGCATGGGAGAACAGCATGCTGTGTTCTTCCTGTTCCCCCCTAAATTCATATTTAGTCTGAGTTGCTGCATTTCTATTCTTTATTACCCACCACTAACCACGAGCATTTCCAGAGCTCATGTACTTTGCCTCTTGGCTTTGAACTCCAGTTATGACGGAAACTTTATATTTTTATGTCTGCTTAGCTGAGGTCTGCTCCTCTGGGGAAATGACCTTAATGGCCTTTTGGGTGATTTCATCCCCACTGATTCTTTTCACATTCATAGAGGGTTTTTGATAGAACCCGGAGAAACAAACCTACATCTTGGACCATATCAACATTAGCAGAGCAGACTTCAGCACCAACAGCCGGTTTATAATCTCCTGGGCCTGTTTCTGTTTTCATTTTCCTGAAGATTGAAGTGGATGTGGTGCAGAAAACAATAGCAGGATAATACTGTAATCCTCTGGGTTCCCACATGTGTTATTCACTAGCCTGCGTTCAGAGATGTATGTAAGAATCTTCTGTCCTTATACCCATGAGGACACAAGAGATCTCACAGTCTGTTGTCTATCCCTAGGGAGTTAAAAACAAATATATAATATATATATAATATATATTATAATATTCCTGAAGCTTAAGTTATTTGAAAGGCATTTTATTTTATAATCTCGCAAATACATCTGTTCTTGTTTTTCAGGCTGGTAACCAGATCTCAAACGGCCAGTAAATAATCTCTCTTTTCCTTTCTTCTTTACTGCTCTGCCCTGTCTCCTTTAGCCTTTGCTCTTTGAGGCATAAGATGGGATGGGTGGGTAAGCAGGCGCTGAAAATCCACAATTACTAAGGGTCAGTTTTCATTTATTGCTTTTTCTGATGCTTTTGCTTTTCTCAACTTTACATGGTTAAAGAAATGGGAGGAAAGAGGTTGGTGAGCAGGTCAGTCTATTGTGTGGCCTCTCATTTCTGTGTATTTGCCCTTCCGAAGTCTGTTTATACTCTGAATCACTTGACATGCTGCGCATTCTTCTATAAAATCTGACTTTGAACTGCAATCTTTGGGCACTGGGGAGGGACACTGAGTAATTCTAGGATTTGAATAGTTAACAGACTTGGGGGATTTCTTTTTTTTTTTTAATAACCTGAAGCTATGATAGGCGATCTCCCTGAATGGAGTGGTGACCGATTCTGTACTTTTTTTTCTTTCAAATAAACAAAGATTGCTACACATTACGTATGGAAGCATCTTTCATTTATGTGATGAAAGTTCACATGGAATATCTTTTCTTGGTTTATTTAAAAGGAAATAGTCATGTTGAATGATAAGCATTGACTTTATTTCCATAAATAATATAAATGGTAAAATCAGATGTTACAGTGGGCCACTAGAGGTTATTTGATCTATATTTGGAATTGCAGTGAAATTAACTTTAAGGGTAGTAAAGGTTTTCAATTTTTTAAGAACATCTAAATATATTTCTCCATAAATATATATTACGACCAAAGACAAAATGTTAGTAATTCATAAAATGTGTCTACCTATTTACCAATTTGAAAATTAGAGATTAGTGGTTTGTTTTTGAAAGATAATCAAGTGCTATTCTAAAATTTTCAGCTGATTACAGGCAACAGCATTTGAAAACAGTGATCGAATCTGCCTGAAAATATGTGATATATGTAATTCAAACACAATGAAAATGTAAACGTGTTTATAGTCACAGATAGATATTAAAATTTATAATAATTAAATATATTACTAATTTTTAAAAAATAGTAATAATTATGGGTAGCCAGATATTTCTAGGTAAAATAGCAGTCAAAAGGAAGAAAATGACTGGGTTTCCAAAACAAACTTTTTTTAATCATTAAATTCATAGAATCTGTATCACCTCATTGTATCACCCATAATATGCTTCTTTTAAAAATTGTTAATCAGGGCCTCCCTGGTGGCACAAGGGGTTAAGCACAACACTGAAAAGCTGTCTGCAGCCTCTGCAGCAAGAGTTTGATCCCTAGCCAGGGAACTACCCACATGGTGCAACAGACCTCTCCTGACTTGTCCACTGCTCCCCTCAGCAGTGTATTTCAGTAGATCTGCCTGTTCTGTTCCCCACTCTGTCTCTGGTGAATCCTCTCACCCCCCACACCTCTGGCTTGTACCCCAGTTCTTGCGTGCATAAATAAAGAAATCTTTAAAAAATAAAAATAAAAAATATTAATCAATCTGACCTCTTCAGAGTTACTAAGGCCTAATGAATGGGGTAGTGCCATTTTACTAAACTTGAATCTTTTAGTTTCACCTGGGTTCTGGCTCTTGCCAGCTTCTTACTTAGTAATCCTGCCACAGGGGTATGAAATCCAAGAGCGTTTCCCTCCTAAACTACAGCCACACAAAAACAAAAGACTTCTGTTTGTCAGAACATGGGTTTTGTTCCTGATGTGATCATTAAAGCCAAAGTTCGAATTAAATCATTCTTTTTCAGTTAAGCACTGTACTGGAATCATTATATACTTTATATGCTTCATAATAGAAGACTATATGGGATTATAATGAATGAGTGGGAGCTTCTAACTTCTTTCCTCTGCAATAAATGATGCAATAAATGATATTTTGTGTTTAGCCTTTATCCATGGTGTTTATTCAGAGCTGAAATTCTTAATATGGGACATGGAAAATGAAGTACTGGTATCTTAGCATCTCTGGGAAGGAGATTTGTATTGGGTGTTGGGTTTCAAAAAATATGTTTGTCTACTCGAGAATCAATTCCATAGTGAAACTCTTGTTACTAAGGGGATTACATGGGGGAAAGTGATAGGCTTGAAACCACTGATTTAAAGTATTTGTATCAGAACAATCCATTTAAGTGAAAGCAAAGATCTCCCACTCTCAGGAGCTCTGTTTTTTAGAGCTGATATGCAAGAAGGGGTGTGTGTCTGTATATGTGTGTGAGACGGAAGTTGGAGGGAGTGTGGTGCTATTATCTCACTCCAAATGAGAGGAAAGACAGGAAATGGTGAACAGGTGGTATCTGTTTCCTGTTTTATACTCAGAAACAGTCCTAACTCTGACACTCACGTGAGGTCCTTCTAGGGACTCTCAGAATAAATACTTGGAGATATGTCCATGGTAGCCTGATATGTTATAATATTCAAATCTTAGAGATAACCAGATGGATTTCATATGTTAAAGTCAGTGTTTCATTTTCTATAGGCTTGTGAGACCTGGGAAGATTTGGAAAACACTATTTTTCACTTTACTATGACAAGTAGGATGAACACACTAGTAATTAGACAAAAAAAATGGTCATCGGGAGAATACAAAGATCTGGATTTTTTGAATGAAAAAGAAGCCTTCTGCAAAAGAATGCATTTTGAGAAACGTTTCATGTGCAGATTATGGCCAGTAAGTACTTCAAATACTTATATAAAAATTCATCATGGGGATTGTTCCTGACTCCAACAATTCATTCGTTAAGTAAATTTTGGCGGGCGTTTTGATTTTTTTTGTGCTGCAGTTTCCCTACCAAAAATGGAAGAAGGTTGATTTTTAATTAAGTAATTAATTTTCTTAAATTATTGTTACTTTTTGGACAGTATTTGATTTCTCCCCTCAGGTGTAGTACCGAAGTTCTCCTGCACCATGGCACCCATGAACCATTACCACAGTCCCTTGTGCTCTTCCCGCCCCCCTTATTTTTTAAGATTTTTAAAAAAATTTATTCATGTATACAAGAACTGGCGTATAGGCAGATGTACGGGAGGGTGAGAGGATTCACCAGAGACAGAGTGGGGAGCAGAACGGGCAGACTGACTGAAATACACTGCTGAGGGGAGCAGCGGGCGAGTCAGGAGAGGTCTGCTGCACCATGTGGGTAGCTCCCTAGCCAGCAGAGATTGAACCTGCACTGCAGAGGCTACAGGACATCTTCACAGCACTGTGCTCAACCCACTGCACCCCCAGGGAGGCCTTCCCTCCCCTGTTTTGACCCCTCTTCCTTTTTCCTCCTCTACCATATATCTCAGACCTATGGTTTGCCTTTGAGTTTTGTTTTTTTCCTCATCCTTTGTTCGGTTTTCAATGGAGGAAGGTTAATACTCATTGCTTGCATACTCTAGAAAGGTACCTAATCATTGTCTCATTGTTATTCCTTAACTCAGTGAATGAAGAAAGGTAAAGCTTGTTTCTAAATCTAATTTTTATCAGAAAACAGAGAAACCAAATTTCATAAAATTGCCTGAGAATTTCCAAAGTTAAGGCAAAAGTCTCATAGGAGTCCCTATCCCTTTGATCCCTCTGTACCGTCCTTCTCCCGACCCTCCCCCCAAAACACCTTTAATACCATTGAACTTCATGCATACCATTTATTGTGCATTTTAAGAAAATTTCTCAGTGCCAGCAGATGTCAATATTTATATTTACTAAATTTCCAAATGCAAATAAGGCATCTACTTTCTACCCCAAGAAAATTCCTGAACAGCAGCACAGGGAGAGGGAACTCAAGCAGAATTTAGTAATCTTGCAGACTTGAACAGACAGATGTTAGAGTTCAGAAGGTCAAGATGTTAAGATTTTGTGAGGCAGAGTATTGGTAGTAGGGAATTCATGGAGAAAGAGTTCTTGAAATGTGTCTAAGGATCCCCTCAAAACGTAGTTTGTAAATGCATAGGATAAAAAAAAAAACAAGGTCCAGATAGCAATTTCCAAGGAAATAACTAACAGTTGGAGCAAACAAATAAAAATTCCCAGAGTCATATAGGATTGGGAAATTTTTTGTGTTCCATTTATTAAGCCAAAGTGGAAAGATCTGGGACATTCGGTAGATCCAAAGGCTACAACTTAGAAGTGGGGTCTATTAGAGGTGGAATATCTAAGGCATGCACCAAAGAGATTAAAACCATATAACAAGTGGATCAAACTAGCCTACAATCAGCTTAATTACTTGCTAGAAGAATCCCTGTATGCTAAAGAAATACAATGAAATCCATCACTCAAAAAACAGAAAAATCCTCTAATTAACAACAAAAAAAAATTACTAGTCACTTGAAGAGACAGGAAATATAACACATAACCAGAGGGAAATAAGTCAATGAAAATAGATTCAGAAGTAACAGAAAGGAAGACATTAATGGAAATGAAAACAAGAAATAAGGAAACCATGAACATAAAGAAGAGAGAACGAGAAGATATCAAAATTAATGCAAATAAAATTTGTAGCTGTGAAAAATAACATATCTGCCATGAAAAATATACTGAATATGAATTATAACAAATTCTACACTGGAAACAAAAATACTGGTGAAACTTAGGTCATTGAACAACAGGAAAAATCCAAAATAAAATACAATAGAATAAAAAATTAATAGTCCCAGTGACTCATTGGAAAATACCTAATTTAATCACCAAGGTAGTGACTCAAACAAAATTTAAAAAAACAAAAAGAAATTTCCAAACTTGATTAAAATAATAAAACTCCATATTTTATAACCCAGTAAACCAGAGTACTTATTCTTAAAAATAGACAAATGCATATTTTAATAAAATTGCAGAAAAATCATAATTAATATAAAATAATGACCTAAGGAAAAATACTAATTACAGCAGACTTCATTCAGAATCTATACAAATTTAAAGGAAATGAAGTAATATCTTTATGGTACTAAAAACATTATATATTAAAAATGTTGAGGTTTTATATTTAGTGAAAATATCTTAAAATGATTATTTTCAGGTCGGCAATAAAATTAATGCTGAAGTTCTGTAGATAGAACAAAATTACACTAAGTAGAAATTCATATCTGTACAAAAATGAGAAAAAGAAATGATAAATATGTGGGTGAACCTAAAAGATAATTTTACCATTTGTAAATTTATATTTTAAATATGTACAACAAAAGTGATAGCAGTGTATTATGCAAAATATCATAGGAAAATGAAACAAAGAATAGGTGGAACAAGGTGGTAGATTTATATCTAAATATATTGATAATTCTATTGCATGTAAATGGTTTTAAAATGCCAATTAAGTGGCAAGAATTGCTCAATTTGAAAAGAAGTAACAAGTGATTTCCTACTATATTCAGTCCATAAAATACTCAGACTGAAAATAATGGGTTAAAAAATAAAAGGTAGTCAAAGATACGCTACTCAAATGTTAATTACAAATAATGTGCAGTGGGCCTCCCTGGTGGCGTAAGGGTTAGGACGCAACCTCTGAAGCTGTCCGCAGCCACTGCAGCATGAGTTTGATCCCCTGGCCTGCCAGGGAGCTACCCATATGGCACAGCAGACCTCTCCTGACTCGCCCACTGCTCCCCTCAGCAGTGTATTTCAGTCAATCTGCCTGTTCTATTCCCCACTCTGTCTCTGGTGAATCCTCTCACTTCCTGCACCTCTGGTCTGTACTCCAGGTCTTGTGTGCATAAATAAATAAATCTCAAAGCAAACAAAAACAAATAATGTGCAGTGCTTATGTTAATGTCAGACAATGTAGATTTCAGATGAAAAAAATGCCTAAAGAGAGTCATTCCCTAGGGAGGAAGGAGTTGCTTTATGAAGACATAACAATCCTGAATGTGTAAGCAGTTTTAAAATGCATATAAAATAACTGACGGAACAGAAAGGGGAAGCAAATTAAATTTTAAATTTGCAAGTGTCAACACCATTCTTTCAGAAAAATGATACAACAAGTGGATAAAAGTAGGAATGTAGAACACTGAACATACTGTCAACCAGACTGACCTCACTGGCAAATATAGATCACTTCACCAAACCATAGAATGCACATCCTGTTAAAAGCACAGGGGAACATTAACCACTGTGGAAAACTGTCTGGAGTTTCCTCAGTCTACTAAAAATGGAGCTACCATATGATCTGGCAATTCCACTGCTAGGGATCTCCCCAAAGGACACAAAAACATTGATTCAAAAGAACACCTGTACCCCTGTGTTTATTGCAGCACTATTTACAACAGGTAAAACCTGGAAACAACCCAAAGGCCCAAAAATAGATGACTGGATCAAGAAAATATGGTATATATACACAATGGAATACTATTCAGCAATCAAGAAAGATAAACTCATGCCATTCTCAGCAACGTGGATGGAGCTAGAAGGAATTATGCTTAGTAAAATAAGCCAGAAGGAAAAAGAAAAATATTGGATGGTTTCACTTATAGCAGGAATATAGGGGAACCAAATAAGACATCAGTATAAAAAATAATAACAGTACAAAGCACGAGAAAGCAAAAGCAGACAATTATAAATCAGAGACATCCTTCAGGGGAACAGGAGGGAGAGGGATCAGATGAATGGAGGGAGGAGCACAGGGGACTGTGGTGATGGTGCATGGGTGCCTTGGGGAAGTGAATTCTATGGGGATTCAATCTAAGGGGATGCGGGGAAGCAAGTATTGTCAAAAAAGTTTAAATAAAAAAAAATCGAAGGTGAATAAAACAGAAAAAGTACAGGGGAACATTCAACAAGTTCATTATATTTTGATGATTAAAAAAATTCAGAATATCCAAAATATTAAAATAATATAAATTCTATTATCTAATCATAAAAGAATTTATTGGGGAAAAATACAAAATGATATGATAGTTACAAAATCTGCCCCCCACATTTGAAAATTAACAGCATTTATCTACATATTCCATGAGTCGCTGAAAAAAATTACAATTATCTAACAGCGTGCAAAGGAAAACACGTCAAAATTTGTGAAATGCAGGTAAAACAATGAAAAGAATGAAATTTATAGTATTAAATACTCTCATAAGGGAAAAAAAATTGTGTTCTAAAATCAGTCATTTCTGTGTGTGGATTCGGGGCAGGGGGATATGAAATTAAGCTGAAAGTGAGAAGTAGGAAGAAAATAATAAATTAAAGGAGTCAGTGAAATACGCAAGAGACAAAAGAAAATCAAAGAAACTGAAATCTGGTTCTTTACCAAGATTAATAAAATTATCAAAGACTATGGAAAGACTTTGGAAAGACTATGGAAAGACTAAACCGGAAAAATAAAAAAAAAGGCACAAATGACCAATATCAAAACTGAAAGCAATAACTTAAGTGCACAGCCTACAATGATAAAAAGCTAATGAAATGTTATAAGCAAATGCATGTCCACTTTTTCAAATGAGATAAAACAGACAAACTTCTCAAAAGACAAAAACGAGACACAAAGTTTATCAGCAAAGAAATAGATAACAGCTTAATATCACTGAATTCTCAGTTAAAATTCTTCTCACAAAGAAAATGTAGGAACAATCATCTTCATTGGTGAAGACATAGTGCCAACACAACACAAACTCCTCCAGAAAATTGACAGAAAGAGGATGCATTCTACTTCATTCCACTGTACCAGCATTATCCTGATACAAATACATCACAATAAAGTTGTAGGCCAATCTGTCTTATTGATCACAGCTACAAAAATCCTTGACAAAATGGCAAATCCAATCCAGTAATACATAAAAAAGGATACTACCTTGTAAGCACTTGGAGTTTATCCCAGTAATGCCATTTGTTTAACATTAAAAAAAAAAAAAATCAATCGATATGTTTGAACACATTAACAGGCAAAACGTGGGAAACCACAAAATCACAAGAAAGGACATTAAAAAAAGCAAAGTAATCAAACCTTACAAGAGCCAACTCATTTTCAAGGTAGATTAAAAACTCTTAACAACCTAGGAATACCAGAGAATTCTTCAACATGACAAAAAGCTCATCTAAAGCGCTTTTACTAACATTGGCATGTTCTCCCTGGCAAGGGGAAGGGGAAATATTGTCCGTGACAACTGCTTCTATTTGTCTTTGTGGTTGTGGTCCTGGTCAATGCAGTATATGCAGAAAAGGTAGTAAAAGGTACACAGTTTGAGTGGGAAAAGAGTAAAATTCTCATTATTTTAGACAACACAATCATTTATTTAGAGAATCTTTAGGAATCTGAAAAGGATCGGAGAATAATTGAGGTTAATAAATGTGTTGGGCACAAGGTCAATATACAAAAATGATTTCATTTCTGATTACTAGTAGCAAATAATTAGAATTTGAAAAGATAGGACCATTTACAATAGATAAAAATGCAATAGAGAAATACAGATGTAACTGAAATTGTGCATAAGTTCTTATACTGACAAGTATAAAACTTAAAGGTTATCTAAATAAATGAAGAGGGCCTCCCCGGTGGCATGGCGGTTGAGCGCTGGGTTGCGAAGCTGCCCGTGACCTCTGCAGTGCTGGTTCGATCCCCGGCCACCGGGTGAGGTTCCCACATGGCGGGCAGACCTCTCCTGCTGCCCGCTTTTCCCCTCAGCAGTGTATTTCATCAGTCTGCCTGCTCTGCTTTCCCCTCTGGCTCTGGTGAATTCTCTCACCCTCCCACACTTCTGACTGTACCCAGTGCTTGTATAGATAGATAAATCTTGAAAAAACAAATAAATAATTAAATAAATGAAGAGACACAGCATGGCTGTGCATTGAAGACCCCATGTTTTTAAGATGCCAATTCTTCACAAATTTATCTATAGATTTAGTGAAATTCCAGTCAAATCCCAACAAGCAATTTTGTAGAAACTGATAAATTGATTCTAAAGTTACAGTTAACTTACAAAGAACCTCGCTAAACAGTGGGGGCAAAGGTAAAATTGAAGGTCTTGAACTATTGGATTTCAAGAGTTAATGTGAATTTGCAAAAATGAAATCAGTATAATGACTGATATATAGATTAATGGAATAAAACAAGAGAGACCAGAAAAATATCAACACACACCTTGTCAGTTGCCAGCGTAATTCATTAGTGGAGAGTAGTCTTCATCAAATGGTGTTGCAACAAAATTTATACCAATAGCAGAAGAATGAACCTCAACTTTTACAGCATATATAAAAATTAATTGAATATGTATTATAGACCTAACATAAGCACCAAAACTACAAATAACTAGAATACATAGAAGGTTCTTATGAACTTGAGTTAGATATCATCAAAAAAGCATGTACCAAGAAAAAAAATAAAACATGACAAGTTGGCCTTCATCACATTAAGAAGTTTTACTCTCCAAAATATACCATTAATAAAATAAAAGGACCAGACTGAAAGAAGTGAAAATATTTGCAAAATACATAGCTGATAAAAAATTTGAATCCAGGCTTATAAAGAATAGAACCCAATAATTAAATGTCCAACAATTGACTAGAAGAAACAAGTAAAGAAATTAAATAGATACTTCAGCAAATATAATATTAAGATGTTAATAACTACAATATACTCAGCAAAATTCAAAATAAAACTACAATGAGATAATTATATGTATACTCTAAAACTACAAAATTGAAAAAGACTGAAAATATCAAGTATTGCTATTGATATGAAGAAAATGGGAAATATTCTATGTCTCTGGTGATAATTTTAACTAATACAGTCATTTAAGAAGAGTGAATTTGGTGCTGAATATAAGAATCTCTCAAATCAGGCTGTATTAAAATAGAGATTGGTAGCTAGCTAAAGGAATGAATGAACAAATGTTAACTATGAAGTAAAAAAATAAATGGAAAGTTGATTATCAAGTTAAATAGCTACTATATGACTCAACCTTATCCACCCAAGAGAAATAGAAAGACCTGTAGGAAAATGTTCAGAGTACAATGTTTGCTATTCATAATAACAAAAATCAGAAACAGCTCATATGCTTTAAAAGTTAACATTAACAGGTAAATAGATAATAGGACAATGAGTATGTAAACAATGGCATACAACACAACAGTAAAGTCTTAGTTGCTGACATGTGACAACTTGGATGAACATAAAAAGCAATATGAAGAAGTGCAAAAAAACATGGAAGACAAAATACTCTCTGTATTTTTCCATTTATTTGGTATTCTGGAAAAGACAAGCTATAGCAGTACAAAATCCATCAGTGGTTTCCCTGGACTCAGGGTGGATGTAGAGAATTGACTACATCCAGATGGGAGGTTGTAAGAATATTCCTTGTTTTGTTATGGTGATGGTTGTAGGATATTATATATTTGTTCAAATTAGTAAAGCCTTATATTTAAATACAGTAAATATTATGGTAGGCCTATAGTGCCTCCATAAATCTAGTCTTAAAAAAAGATTTCTGGGACCTCCCCGGTGGCGCAGCGGTTGAGCGCTGGGTTGCGAAGCTGCCCGCAGCCTCTGCGGCGCCGGTTCGATCCCCGGCTGCTCCCCGGCCACTGGAGGAGGGTCCCACATGGCGCGCAGACCTCTCCTGCCGCCCGCTGCTCCCCTCAGCAGTGTACTTCGGTCCTTCTGCCTGCTCTGCTCCCTGATCTGGCTCTGGTGAATTCTCTCACCCTCCCGCGCTTCTGACTGTACCCAGTGCATGTATAAACAAGAACAAACAAACAAATAAATAAATAAATAAAAGCATGCCTCTATAAAAAAAAAAAAAAAAAAAAAAAAAAAAAAAAAAAGATTTCTGAACCACACAATGTCATTTATATATTCACTTATTTATTCACTTAACTAATTATGTGAGCAAAGGACTTGTTGTTATGGCCACTGATAACTACAGCTTGGTGCTGAAAGAGCTTACATTTAGTTGAGATGATGGATAATTAATCAGACTGATACAAGACAGTGTCTACTATGGGACCATGTGAGGAGATTATTGATGTGAAATTTATAGGTAAGGGGGAGGAAGCTTTTTTGAAGTTAGTGACCATCAAGTAGAAACCAAAGGCTTCTAAATACTGTACCATGTATATATATATATATATATATATATATATACACACACATACATAGAATAATTGAATTAGGCAGAGAAGTAGTCTATGACTTATCTGTTGAATGGATGATAAAGAGTTGCTGGGCAATACTTGAATTAGGAACTGAATCCAGTGGTGACAAGGTAAGATGGATTATCTGGGGTTCTGGTCTGTGAGGGAATGCTCTCTGCCACTTTATAATGAGACCCCATTGGTCTAGCAGAAGTGCTGTATCTGACAGGGTGACTTTTGAGTGCTGGGTTTTCAAATCAAATTTAGGGTGACTCACCTCTGCTCTTAGTATGTGTATTGTTCTCTTCAAGTAAATATTGGAGGAGGTAAGTGTAAAGCACTAAGCCTGGAGGAAAGATTTCTAACATATCTAAAACCCAAATCATTCAAGATTATTCTTAAATCACTTTTGCAGATTGAAGATACATTGAGATGGACATTTTTTTAAGAACATGGGGTATGTACATTATTATAAACAATTTGGTTCATACAGATAACAGCAGAAATTGTTCTTATTCACAGCAATTGACTTAAAAATAAGATCTCTGGCAATTTGAAATCTTGAAGTTAATCACATTTGCTAATTGAAAAGAAAATTTATTATTTGATCTCCAAGATAAAAATAATGTAATGTTATTTTTTCAAAATTCATGAAATAACCTATAGTGATAAAAGTTAAATGACTTAAGGCCACAGGAGCAAAAAAGGGGATTTAGCTTTCTTTTCTTTTTTCATAAGATAGACATAGCTCTCTGTTCTCAATTTTTTTCATTGTGATTTATTATTTCCATGTTCTTTCTATTTTTTAAAAAAAAAATCTGTCTTTTCATTTTCCACTTTATTATTCCTGTCTTATGGGGTTTCCATATTCCCTACTTAACTTAATGGTTCTCAAATTTGAAGATACATCAGAATCACTTAGAAGACATGGTAAAAGCAGATTTCTGGGCTAAAACTTTAAAATTCCTGATTCAGAAGCATCAGGAAAGGGATGCATGTGAAGGAATTTGCATTTGTAGTTAAGTTTCTAGGTGATGCTCCTGCTTCTGTTCCTATCTTTGCTCTTTGAAAAACAGTGACCTATTAGTCATCCTGCTGACAGCAAAGAAGGCTGGGAGTGTTCTGGAATAGGCTAGAATAGAATCAAAGTAATCTAGAAGTCTAATTACATGAGAAACTTGCACTCTAGCTTCAATTTCTAGGTTAATTGCGGACATTATTTTTCTCATCTTGCAATTGGAGATATTTTGAAATTTTCTTATATTTCTTCCAGTAGAGTTTAAGTCAGAAGACAGAGATTTTTAAAACTGTTATCATGGTGGCTTCCCCTTACAAGTTCCTTTTCTCGACTTACATAATCATCTGGTACCTTTTTATCATTGCTGAATACTTTCTACAGTAAAGCTAATATAACAGATCATGTTGTATTAAATAGTTCTGATAGCTGGATAAAATGAAAAAGAATGTCTCTATTTAATAGATGACGAATGGAAGAATAATTGTTCAACATGAATAAACCGTTGCAGAAATCAGTGTTTGTACACTTGGCACTACCCAGGGTTGAGACAACATCTCTTTACCTGCAGGCTTGGCAGTACATTTTCTATATGTTTTGCCAAAGCTAAAGGTAACAAAATTAATAAATAAGAATCTCCTGAATAGCCAGAATCTTTTAGAATTTCCATTAAGCTTCAAAACACGCTCCTATTATTTTGTTCATTCTAAGTTTTTGTCTTCCTTCACTGGATTTTACTAAATGCAGTTGTGTAAGGATATGCCTTCCAGTCTTTTTCTTATTCATACTTGAGTGTTGTTGTTTTTTTTCTTCTTGGACTTCACCGTAATGTTGGTTTCTCTTTATTGAAACTAATCTTAAGCTTCCAATGTACTTTTTACTCCCACGCACTTGTAGTCTTGATCCTGAAGGAAGTATTGTGTGTTTTGTATGGTATACATTGATAACTGGAAACAATTGAGTCCCTATTAGCCAATTAAACCTGGCAAAATATGGATCACTGCCCAAGCTCTAGGTTCTTTTGATCCAGACACGTGGCACATACCATTTGAACTTAAGAAAATTCTCTGTTTCTTTCCTATCTGTCCATTTGTTTTTGTCGAACTGGTGGACAACATAGATGGTAGGGAACTTGTGTGTCTAAGAGAAGACTTGGAAGAAATGCATGTTACACATCCAGAGAGTCTAGAAGATTTTTTTATTAAAGAGCAAACTACTCACAATTAAGGTTTCTCCTTTATCCTCAAAATGATTTAAGATACGTTCTTCACCTAAAATTCAGGTCAACTACCACAGGGGACAGTGTCACAAACACTTGAGTGTGTTTGACTGTGTGCTTAGAAAAGGTCAGTCGGTGCATTCCAACCATACCAGCAAATACATCATACCTCGGGCCCTCTTAGGAGCTCTTCAGGAAAGTCAATGGGAACTTTGTGCAAACAGGTAGCAAAGAACTGGGCTCATTGTATTAAATTTGCTTCTTTGCCTACAGTCACCTGGTTTGGATTTTAATCTCCTGAACTAAACCTTTGTGAGTCATGGTGGCTTGGTTATCATCTTCTTCTATTCATTGCTCTTCCTTGGGATACCGTAGTAATTTTGATTTTGAGAGAGTTCAATTTGGTAAGCGCTCCTGCCCCCAGATAATGTATTAGGGATGAATAAATTGAGCCTTAGACTGTCATAGTGTAGGGGCTAGCTGCTTTTCAGTGATTAGTAATCTGAAAAGAATTAAAGTAAAGTGAGAAAGGAGTAGGGTTCATAGCTGTAATGTGGAGGGGTCTGATTATTGGCTTGATAGAAGGTTTTCAGGCCAGAGAGTTTTAGAAATCCATTTTCAGTTCCAATAAATCCAATACGTTTTATATTCGCATGTTGCAATGAAGGCATTGCTTTCTTAAAGCTTTTTTAATGTTCAGAAATCTCTATGTAGATTTTCTTCCTTTACTCTGAGATTTTTTTCTTTCTCTTTTTTTTCTGCCACAGGGAAGTTTTGTTTGGCCTAGAGTAAATGAAACTCTGAGCCCAAAAGGCTTAGTTAAATTGAGCTTGAAACGGAAAACCCATGACTCTTTCTGAGCGCTGAACAAAAAGAATATTTGCTGTACTTCACCCCAGTGGAATCATCTGACTTTTCTATTTTCTCTTTATCTTCAGAGCCAGAAGATAACCAAATCATAAATGTATCAAACTAAACCTTTAGTGATACTGAATTCTCATCAATAGAACCACTTTAATAACTTATGCAGTGATTCAGATTAAATTAATGTTGGTTGTGAGCAAAATTTATTGGTTACATTTCATGCGGTCCATCACAGAAACACCACACCTGCTTCTGACAACCATTAGACTTGGGTCAGTTGGCAGCTTTGGCACCAAAGTCACATAGATCAACTGGGGATGGAGAAAGCACTGCTCCCCCTCATGCCCACTACACCAACCCTATACTCAATTTGGATTAGAAAACCCCAGCACCGACCCTTGACAAAACAGTGAAACTCATCTGAGAGACACCTGCAGAAGAACTTCAGTAGAATTGAATAGTTCTAGATGTCCAGTCCCTGCAATTATTTACTTTCCATGTGAACATTAAACCTGATAGAAAATTCTTTTTTTAATTTTTTAAATTTATTTTATTTTTTTACTTTAACATTTATCATTTTTAAATATTTTAAAATAGTATTTGCTTCCCCCACCCCTTGAAATTGAGTCCCCATAGAATTTCCTTCCCAAGGCACCCATGCACCATCACCCCAGTGATGAAACCATCCGATACTTTTCTTTTTCCTTCTGACTTATTTTTACTGAGCATAATTCCTTCTAGCTCCATCCATGTTGCTGTGAATGGCATGAGTTTATCTATTTGATTGCTGAATAATATTCCGTTGTGTATATATACCACATCTTCTTGATCCAGTCATCTATTTTTGGGTATTTGGGTTGTTTCCAGGTTTTACCTATTGTAAACAGTGCTGCAATAAATATAGGGGTACAGGTGTTCTTTTGAATCACTGTTTTTGTGTCCTTTGGGTAGATCCCTAGGAGTGGAATTACTGGGACATATGGTAGCTTCATTTTTAGTAGACTGAGGAACCTCCAGACAGCTTTCCATAGTGGTTGGACCAGTTTGCACTCCCACCAGCAGAACAGGAGAGTTCCTTTTTCAGCACATCCTCGCCAACATTTGTTGTTGCTTGGTTTTTTGATATGTGCCATTCTCACTGGTGTAAGATGGTATCTCATTGTGGTTTTGATTTGTATTTCCCTGATTACAAGTGATGCTGAACATTTTTTCATATGCCTATTGGCCATTTGCATTTCCTCTTTGGAGAAATGACTTTTGAGTTCTTCTGCCCATTTCTTGACTGGATTGTTTATTTTGTTTTTGTTGAGCCATGTGAGTTCTTTGTATATCTTTGTGATCTGTCCCTTAAAACCTGATAGAAAATTCTGACTGAGATTAGGACATAGGAATGAAAACATTTTACATCTTTATTGTAAACTGAGAGTGGTGTGCAGAAGACACGTTTTAGAGGAAGATTTTGAAAACTGGCTGGCATTTCAAACTTTGTCTTTGCCTTTTGGCTTGGTTTGGTCCTTATCAATTACCTTAGTAATTATGTTTTATAGATCCCTCGAGGTTTCAAGACTGACAGGACTGTGTTTAAAGAGAAGGATTGGAAAACTCCCAACAATACTTGAATTCCGCTTACTTGGCTGCATGCATCGTGGCCAAACTTTCATCACTGTAGTAATCTCATGACAATAAATTGCTATTATCCTGCCTTGTTTTTTTTTTTTTAAGATTTTTAAAAATTTATTTATATAAGAACTAGGGTCAGGCCAAAGGTGCAGGAAGGCAAGAGAATTCATCAGAGACAGAGCAGGGTGCAGAACAGGCAGGTGAACCAGAAACACTGCTGAGGGGAGCAACCGGCGAGACAGGAGAAGTCTGCAGCTCCATGTGGCTATCTCCCTGGCTGTCTGGGAATCAAACCCGCGCTGCAGAGGCTGCAGACAGCTTCACAGTGCTGCACTCAACTTGTTGCGCCACCAGGGGTGCTCGATCCTGCCTTGTTTTTGAGCTAGAGATTTCCCTCAGAGCAAATATTTTTTTCTGCAGAAACCGCATATAGTTCATTTTGTGTTTTGTTTTTTTTTTCCTTTGGGATAGGTAAAGAAAATGGGTAAGTGGACACATTTTTGCATGTATTTGGTCTTTTAGATTTCATTGAAATAAATGCTTACATTTTCAAGCCGCTCTTTGGTACTAAACATCAGCTCTTAACACAGGCACATTATTGTCTTCATAGCATTATTCTTGCAAAGTCTGGCCCTATGCAAAACATAAGAAGTGAGGATTGGTTATGGGAAAAAGAGATAACAGAGATAAGATGAAATACTTTAGTCAGCATTTTTTGTTCATCTCGTCTTGGTGACTG